TGGGCTGTAGCCCCTGGTCTCCAGTTTGGCCCAAGAGCTATAAAAACAAATGCTCTCTATTATTGGCTGTCATTGCTAAGGCCTCAAAGGCTGCTGGGCAATATACCCTGTAGAATAGGATGCAAGGCAGTCCTCTGATCTCTTCCTAGCCTTCATGCCCATGTATTTGCATAAAAAAGATATTTACTGTTTGAATTTGACGATTTAAAAAAATATTTCCAATTATACTGCAGCTCAAATTGTACTTTTGCCTAGCAGCTATTACAATTCTTGTAATATTATTCTCATTATGAATAATCTGAATTATTTAGCATTTATCCATTTCCAGCATTAGAGCTTTTTATGCCAATATTTCACTAATCCTACTGGCTGCTTCAGAACCATCTTGGGTTTAGATAAACCATTATGCTTTATGAAAATCTTGAACTGATTAGAGAAAAATATTAAAATCAAAGATTCTCTCAGTATTTTAATACTTCCTAGATATCAATGAATGGTTTATGTCCACAACAGGCTTTTTAATCCTTTGCTCAGATGCTTGGTTTAGTTTCTTCCAAAGTAGCTAACAAGAGGGGATGGCGGGGGTGGGGGTGGAATTAAATGTTTATTTATAGTTGTTGTATTGACCATCCTAGTCATAACAACCACAGAAATAATAGTAATATATACACTAATACAATGTTGTGTATTGTGTCAACCAAAATATGTATTTGCATTAAAATATACCAAATTACTACTACTAATATACAAAAGGTTAAAAAAGAATAAAACAAAATATTTATTAAAATACAAATTGTTGAGATAACTAATAATTTAAAAGCATCCAAATATATTTTTTTAATTTAATCACCAATTAAATCTATATAATTTACCATATTAACCTCAATAAAAAATTTCCTCAGCTTTTGGGCACCCAATACAAACAAGAGAATTAAAACAGTTTGAAATCTACCTTTGAAATCTCATTGTACCTTTTCAACACTCATCAGTTTTCTGCCCAGCTGAAGCAATCCATTCTCAATATTGCATTAACTTCATCTACTACTAACCAAGCCTACAGCCGAATTAGCCACAACGCAGATATATATACATTAATATCCAAGATAGCTTGACATTAACTCTTTTAACACTTGACAAACTTGAATCGTCTTTTAAGGTGCTCATTCGTTTTCTTAGTGTTAGGCTTGTTTATCTTTCTGGCAATAGCAGTACTTCCTAAGGGCATATATTCTAAACAAACTACAGAAAAGCACTTTGTGTTTTTTAATGTCAAGTATCCACTAAGTCTCTGGTTTTTTAAAAAATTACTGGACATAATTAGACATATTTGACATTTTCAAATGCACAGTAATAATGAAACCTGAGCACATTTATGAGCCCCACTGATTTCAACTGAACTGGATACAGAATAGTAGCCTAATGGCACACGAAACTGTTTAAAGTTTTTAGGAATTCAAATGTCTAAAGGGAGTTGATTCAGACAAAATAGAATCCACATTATTATATATACCATGTATATCCAAAGTGTGGTTCTCTTGCCAGTTTGGAACATGATGAAAGACTGTTTGGGACAACTTAAGGAACTGCATGGACCATGACATGGAAAACAACAAGTGCCCACTTCCCTCTGTCCCCAGGAAATGCAGTGAGCAGTCTATATTTTGCTTATCTGTATTAGCACAATCATATTTTTATTTTTAGTACTGATAATCACTGAAATAACAAACCAAGACCTCAGTGAAAACTCTAAGATAATGTAAATGTGTTGAAATAAATTATAAAAATCTGTAAATGGGGGGCGGGGCAGGGCAGGGAGGAACCTGCATACAGGAGATGAGTAGCCAAAGTGGTGCTCTTCAGTTGAACCGTGGACTACAACTCTCATCAGCACCAGCTACCATGGCTAATGTACAGGGATAATAAGGGGAGCTGGAGTTCCACAACACTGTTGCTACCTCTGTTACAAAGGAACACAGAAACCTGCCTCATACCAGGTCAGACCCATTAGTCCAGCAGTTCTCAACCTGTGAGTCCCCAGATGTTGTTGGACTACAACTCCCACCATCCCTAGCTAGCAAGGCAAGAGCTCAGGGATGATGGGAGTTGTAGTCCAACAACATCTGGGGACCCACAGGTTGAGAACCACTGCATTAGTCCATCCATCACAGTACTGCCTGCTCCAACTGGCAATGACTCTTTAGCGTTTCAGACACGAGTCTTTCCGAAGCCTGCTTGGGTGCTATAAATTAGACCTGGTGTGGGTGCTTGTAAAGCTTGTGAATTTCAAGTGAGCTAGATGCATGTTGGGGAATGCATGTCACATCTGCAAAGCAATTCAGCTGAGCTAGATCAAACTAAGTTAGTTTTCTATCTGCTAGCAAGAGGCCACAGTCATGTTTCTTTCTTTCTTTCTTTCTTATTTATTTATTTATTTATTTATTTATGAAAAGACATCATCTCACCTTTCTGTCTAATGAACTGCAAGGTGATTTAGAACAAAATTTAAAACAACTATTATCATTAAAAAGCAGATCAAACTTCAATCCAAAAAAGGTGGTATTCAGGGAGTCAGTGGCAAACAACCACTTTGACGTGCCAAGTTGAAACAAAGGGTCTTTAAAAACCCATCATGGAGCAGGCATCTAAAGCAGGCAGTTCAGGAGCCATGGGGCAACCCCAGAAATGGTCATCTCATTGGTCTCAACCAACTGCAATTTGGACATGCAAGAATGCCTCCCCTATTGATTTTAATAGACAGCCAAGCCTTTTGGTGGAATATATGGGCCTTAAGGTGTCCTCTTTTAAATTAGAGCTTTAAAAGTAACTGTGCTTTAAAACATGCCCCAAAATAGACCAGAAATCAGTAAAGCTTTTGAAAAAGAGGAATCAAATGCTCTAGAAAACCAGCTCCAGTCAGACGGTTAGCTGCTGCATTCCAAACCAACTGAAGTTTCTAAACATTTTTCGAAAGCAATCCTAGGTACCACATTATTCAGGAATTCAATCCTGATGTAATGGTGGGTGGCTGGGGGAACAATTGAGGAGGGGTTTGCAAGAATCTGGAAGCTTGTGTGGTTTTTTTCTGAATTTTTATGATTTTCTGTGACCATTGGGCCACTCTGCTGTTTTTTTAAAAAAAATTCTGGATTTGAATTTCTGTGTGGTGGGTGGCTGGGGGAACAGGGGGTTCTTCAGCAAGAAGCAAAGAGTGGAAGAGGAACCTTCTTCGAGTTGTCCCCCAGAGTCTTAGAAAATGTACTGTACACTTTGTTGATTTTTAAATGTTTTTCTGTCATGTTTAGAAACTTAATTTATTGTTCCTTCAATTTTTGAAATGCTATTTACAGTATGTGTGACTTTAAAGAGCACTTAATAAACTCTTGTTGTACCAAATTTGGCTTTGTTTGGACTTTTTTGACCATAGGAACGCATTAATTGAATTTCAATGCATTCCTATGGGATTTCGTGCTTCGCAAGACGAAAAATTCGCTAGACGAAAAAACTCGCGGAACGAATTAATTTCGTATTGCGAGGCACCACTGTAAGGTATGTAAGGCATGTACCACTAGTAGCCAGATTCACACTTTCTAGAAATGAACACAGCTGATATATGCACTTAACCTGGGCAGAAGGGCTCCTGTCACAGCCGCAATATGAACAGCCAACAACAAAGCAGAGCCCAGACTGCAGCGCAATGCTATTCAAATGGGCAGAATCATTATATCCACTGGCAGCTCTACTTATCAGGGACACCCCTGTCTTATCTGGATTAAATCTCACTTTGTCTAGTAATTTCCTCACATTCAGTCAAGTAGCAATCACAGCCATTGATTCAGCAGTCTGAGAGAATAGTGTGTCATCACCCTATGGGCAACGTGTCCCAGCAACATTCTTTAAGCATGGCGCTCAAGTGTGTGGTGGTGACTCAGCTCAGGAATTTCTGGAAGCTACCTATTATCTGGATCCAATTCAGTCTGGCTTCAGGCCTGGTTATGGTGCTGAGGTGGTCTTGGCCACAATCTCTGAAGCAAATTCCCATTTCCTTCAACACACAAGGAGCCTGGCAGTTTTATTTATTTGTAAAATTTAAGGGTTAGCCTAAACAGCATTGCCTTTAGGTTTTAATGTTTTTCATAAGTGACGAGTTTTACCTAAATCTATACACAAGAATCTATGGCTATAATCCATAATGGGAATCTACTTCTGAGTAAACATTCACATGCATACTGTTTGACAAAATCTTAATAGATGAATAGTTAAAAAAAAAACCATCAGGATCTTGTTGTTGCTTTCCATGTTCTTTTCTTTTTATTTATTACATATTAGTTGCTTGCTAATTAAATTTCTCCAAGCAACTTACAATAAAAAATACACATTAAAGAATTCAAAACAAACATCAAAAGGAACAGAATAATATTATTTACTAAAAGTGCATATTATTCTTACAATAGCTTAATTATTTCTGCGTGTAATTTTTTTAAGTAAATTTGTTTTGTTTTATTTAATAATTAAAATATTTATGGACCACATTTTCATAAAAAACACAACAAGGCAGTATACAACATAAAAGCTCTTCTGAAAATTTCTAATACAGGTTGGGAGGAAGTTAAGATGGAGGGACCATCACAATGGACTATCCTCAGACATTGAATCAGATATTTAATCAGACTTAACAGAGAGCACCTGTTGAAGGGCTACAGCAAAGAACTCTTCAACACAGCCACTCCAAATGGTCCAGCAGTATGCAAGGACTGGTCTCTTAGTGGATTATCTTCTTCCAATTATTTTTACTTTCTGGCACTTTAGCAACATAACAGAATGTATTTGTAAGCAGATATATCATTTTCACATATTTAAGGAGCTATATACCGTATTTTTCGCTCCATAAGGCGCACCTGACCATAAGGCGCACCTACTTTTTTGGGGGGGGGGGATTCAAGAAAACAAATATTATTTAAAGGGAGCGCTGAGTAGAGCCTGTATGCATCCTAGGCTCTGCTCAGCGCTCCCTTTCATGAGCCGCGTGGAGAGTGTGTGCGGCGCTTGCAGGCTTTTCTCCCTCCTCCAGAAAAAGCCCCCAAGAGCCACACACACACTCCACGCAGCTCTTTAAAGGGAGTGCGGCTATCCCTGGCTTATCCCACCTCTTGCAAAAGCCAGGGATAGCCGCGCAAAGCCTCGCCAGGGCAACGGGATGAAGGCTCCCTGCTGCCCTGCGGAGGCTTCGCGGGCTACCCCAGAGGTGCTCAGGAGCTTGTCGGGGCTAGCAGGGGAAGCTCAGGGAGCAGCGGACAGGCTGCGTGCAGCCTTCCCGCTGCTCCCAGAGCTTGTGGGGCTGGCGGGGGAAGCCCGGGTTCCCCCCCCCCAGCCCCAGGGACCACACATTCGCTCCATAAGACGCACAGACATTTCCCCTTAGATTTTAAGAGGAAAAAAGTGCATCTTATGGAGCGAAAAATACGGTAATTTCCCTTTCATAATCAGGGAGATTACTCCCAGACCTTCAGATAGCCTATAAAACAAATCCTTAGGAGAATGCTATTTTAATTTGTTGACCTGAATATATCTAACAGAGATGAATTAACAAAAGGGGCTAATTAGTCTAACTAATGCTATACAGTAATTATTTCTTGAATAGGCTAAGAGGCTTTGATTTGACCTTAAAAAGTAAGTCCACAAAAGTTAATAGCCCCCCAAACATTTTCTTTCTATCCCATTTGCCAACAGAGACCCAATGTAGCGGAGAGAATGTCTGAATAAGATAGGGGAGACTTAAAATCCAGTTCTGCCATGCAGCACATTGTATAGCCTTACTTTGTGCAAATTACCCATACCTTATAAGGCAAATCAGGTGGCAATGGGAGACAGGGCCTTCTCCAGATATTTTTCTGACTGATGCAAAGCCCAGATAGCAAACACTTCAAAAAGCCTTCCTGCGCTATTCGAGCAACAATTCTGGTCTTCATCTATTTTTCCCTTGCTTCTTCTCTAAGGCTTCAATCCTATGCACACTTATCTGGGAACAAGTCCCATTGAACTAAGTGGGTATTACTTCTGAGTAGACCTACTTGTAATCATTATACATATCCCCTCACCCACACCATAGATATAGCAATACACACACACTACTCCCTGTAACGAGACTGATATCAGACTATTCCTGCTTTGAATAGGGAAGAACCCCTTAGCAGTAGAGGCTGGTCCGAACCCCACAAAAGTAGAGCCCAGTCCCTTCTCTGTTCCTTACATTCATATTCAATACAGCATTGCATATGTAGAGACACTCTGCGTTTTTTTCTGTCCATCTCCTGTGATGCCCAAGCATCTTTGGACAGCACAGCCAATCACAATCATCCCTATTGTCCCACCCCTTTCTCCAGAGGTAAAAAAAAGTTCTAAAATAATAAATTCCAGTAGGGGAGGCTTAGGAAGGGAAGGGGACTTCTCAAGACCCAAATTTTGATCTACTTACTCTGAGGAGTACCTCAGAAATGCTTTGCAACTTCCACAGCATTAGGTCAGGACCATGAAGAACCTCCCCAACCAGTCAGATGCATCTATTTTAATGCCAGCTTGGGTGGGTGAAAGGTAGGGTGACAGGGATTTCATCCACCCTCACCCCGTGTCCTGTTAATCTTTGGTCAGATCTTTAAAAGGAAAGGCCCCTGCATGGGCAGAATACAGGAGAACTCTGGGTTGTGCTGATCCGAAGGTCTTGCATGATCTATTCTTGAGCCCTTTCCTTGTCTTATCTCCAGGGTACAGTACTGAGATGTGGAGGTGTCAGAAATCTCCACCATCATCAAGGAAGTCAGCAGCAAACCTCAGAGAGGGACATCTGCAATATTATATGGCCCTCCCAATGATCACAAGTTTGCACCCTAATTTTCTCAGCCATTCCTATAACGAGCTTTAGCATGACATTTTAAAAAGATTTAATTTATAATGAAGCAATTTCTATCCATTTGCGTACTCAGCATCTTAATTTTTCTGCATAAGATATTTCCAACTTCTTGAGTATGTTCTGTGCCATTATATTCTGGTTTTAAATCAATGACCATGAAAGAAGACAAAATCATTTCTACATTTACCAAAAAAACAACAACCCCATACTTTTTCACACAAGGCAGCTTGCCCATTTAATTCATGACTAATTTAGTAAGCTCCATTCCAAGGAATTTACTTACGCTAATCCTAAAGCCTCTTATGCAGATTTATGGAAAATATGAACAGAATGGCTCAAGCAACTGTCTCCCACAAATAAGTCTTAGTGAAACCTCAAGAGGGATTAAACAGGTCCTCATTCAAAAATGGATCAGCCAATGCCAAAGAATGAAAATCAAAAGCCAGCAGAATTACACATACAGCTATTTTTTAAAATCACATTCTGTCTGAAAAGGCAGCTCATGCATCTCACCAGCGTATTAATCATTAGACAGCTCTATCTGCATCTGTCAAATTCAATTTGTCCGCCTTTCAAATGAAACCTATACCTGTGCCTTGCAACTATAATTCAATAGCCAGTGTTGGCAGGAAAGGCAAGGACAAAGAGAGAAGTTTCTTAGGATGCTATTTAGGGCACTTGGAAGGAAGGTGGGATTTCACAGGCATTTTCCTACAACCATTAGACAATAGTCAATGGAGGTAGGTAAAGGTAAAGGGACCCCTGACCATTAGGTTCAGTCGTGACCGACTCTGGGGTTGCGGCGCTCATCTCGCTTTATTGGCTGAGGGAGCCGGCGTACAGCTTCCGGGTCATGTGACCAGCATAACTAAGCCGCTTCTGGCAAGCCAGAGCAGCGCACGGAAACGCCATTTACCTTCCCGCCGGAGTGGTACCTATTTATCTACTTGCACTTTGACGTGCTTTTGAACTGCTAGGTTGGCAGGAGCAGGGACCAAGCAACGGGAGCTCACCCCATGGCGGGGATTCGAACCGCCGACCTTCTGATCGGCAAGTCCTAGGCTCTGTGGTTTAACCCACAGTGCCACCTGTGTCCCTATTCAGTGGAGAGTCATATGGAATCAGACCTTCTGACAGATTGCAGTAAGCACCATATGTATAGATATTTATAGAATATCATTTTACAATGACCAGACCGAAAGGAGAATGTGGGAATCCACCTTTAGTCCACTCTCTCCAGACATCATCACATTCAGAACAAAAGGGTTTGACACCTTGGAATGGGAAATTAGAAATTTGTAGAGTCTAGTGATAGGAACACAGATTTAACACTACCCTCTCCCTCACTAGGGCCAGTTAGGGTTGCTAAGGCAGCAACACTCCCCCATCATCAGATACTATGGGCTGTATCCAATGTTCTCTGTCTGCTAGGGCAAGAGCCCACACGCAAGTGGATGCCAGAATCTAAAGGTTGCGCAACGAAAGGAATCCAATGCAACAGTTGCCCTAGTGGATATTTTCCCACAACAGCTGATTGTTGTTGCACAATCTGTTGTACAACAACCTTTGCTAATGTAGTTGGGTTTTTCCTTGCGCCGGTGCAACAAGTATACTGCTAAAGTATGTGACTTTAATTTAGTGCTACCTTGGATACAACCCAAGTATTAAAAAAAATTTAAAAAATCAGGCCATTTAAAGAGAGAGAGAGAGGTATATGAGGGAAGGAAAGAAAACATTCCTCATGACTGCCTCCAAATGACAAAAAAAGTAGCAGATGTGAAAATGTAAGCCTCATTTCTGCCAAATACACAATGCAAGTCAAATTCTACTACTGTCATTTATATTGAACACTGTTTAAATAATTCAAGGGTCCATTACCTGAAATGGTCTGGTTTCTGCAAGTGCTTAAAGTACTATTACTCTTAGATAAGTTGCCAGAGCAAAGAGTAAACAAGCATAAGCTACAATTCCACCCTCCCCCTTCAAAAAAAGTGCCACCCATTGTTGCAATGTTAAGAAAATAAGAGACCCAAGTTATTCTGCCTTCTGAATATTCGATATTTTTCATAACCTACAGACCAGATCCTATCAATCAACCCCAGGTTTACGTCTTGGATAGGTCAAAATGCAAGCTTTTTCAACTGCAGCAGCAAGACAACAACAAGGCCAAAGATAGAGAAAAAGAATGTTACAAAGCTGGAGCAAGATTAGTTTTTCTTGCACCATCAAAACCAAATAAGCCAAAGAGAAGAGTGGGCAAATTACTTCAATTGAAGTCATATCAATTGGGAAGCTGACTCAGACCATACACTGTACCATAATTGCCCTCCATCAAATTCATGGGCCCAAACTGTCTGTTTTCCATCTGCTCCTACACCAATTTAAGCAATTTTGAACTTTGCTCTCCCTTGGTGAATGTATCACAGATTTATTAGAATGTCAGGGTCCAATTGTTAAGATTCTCTAAGGCAGGTTATTACAAGGTGCGGATTTTTGATGTCCGTCAGTCAAGCCCAGGAAAACTGAAGGAGCACAATCAATGCAGCTTTACTCACCCTGGAAACCCATAATATAAGATAATGAAATACGCCAAGAAAAGGGGAAAGGAGGGTGTTTATTCTCTCTTACCATTACCTCAAAGACTTCTCTGCTAATGGTTCTAGCACCAAAAAGAGGTTTTTAGACTACTGTATTTCTAGCTGCCAGAAACCATCACTGCTAATATCATGGGCTTTATAATTTCATGCCCTCTTGTTGCATGAATGGAGCCTGTGTTAATCTAATGTCGTGAATGAGTTACTATGCCTTTTCATACGCATTAGTCTACTCACATAGTAACTCCATTACCTAAGTTCACTGATACCTTTATTACAAAATTACCCAGAGATGACCAGTGGAGTTTGGCCTATATTTACATGCATATTACACATACATTCTCAGGGGATCTGATACTGTGCTTAGTCTGCTGCCATTGTTTTTTGACAGATGACTGGTTGATAGCACAGGCCAATTTTGAGGCTATACAATACAGACAGCACTTTTGGAAAAACAAATAAAACAAAAGCCAACAACTTATTTTGCTGACAAATAATATTGGGTGCTAAATATTGAACCTGAATGTCTTCGCAGCCACTGAAACCACCTTTTATGTGAAACCCTGTCCGTTGTACACTGTGACTCATTGTCACACAGTGCAAGCAAGGCCTGTCCAGAAGCAGTT